CGAAGGGGAAGGGGGGTCGTTTGTCACAGCGGACGCCGCGCGGTGGGTGGCACTGCGGGGGCTTCTCAGCCACGCCGCGCCGGAGCGGCTGCACCGCCTTGACTGCATCCTCGCGGGGTTGACAGCGAGAGCGGGGGGGGAGGGGTTTCACACCGCTTTTGAGGCCTTCCGGCGGCGTCTGCTCGCGCGGGAAGGGGTTTCACGCGGGGGGTCGGTTCCATCTCGACGGGTTCATGTCGAGGTGATCCTGCGCGCGGTGCGGGGGCTGCGAGGGCGACGGGGGGGGGCCGATCGAGACAGGGAGCATCGTCGTCGCCCTCCGCACCCCTCCTGCGGTGGAGCAGCGCACCCCTCCCCTCCGTTATCATCGTCAGTGGGAAGGTGGAGAAAGAAGGGGAAGAGGAGGGGGGGGAGGGGATCCCCGCCTTCGCGTTTCCCTCTCGAACCCCCCCGGCGAGGACGGGGGGGTTACCCTCGCCGTTCTCGCCGCCGGAGGGGAGGTGGGGGTGGCGGAGGTGGGGGTGTGGGCGCCAAAGCCAAAGAAGAAGAAAGACGGGGAAAAAACCGGAGAACGGGAGGTCTGCGCGTTTCTCGTTCACGGGGCGGGTAGGGAGGACGCCACGATCACCGGGGCGATTTATTTTACCCTGCGGGCGGTGGATTTCACCCCCCTTTTGGTGGAAATCCCCTCGCCGAGGTGGGGGTTGCGCGCCCTAGGCTGCCTTTGGCGCCATCATCGCGCGGCGTTGCATCGATTCGACGGGCTTCTCACGATCGGAGCGGGGTGGGAGCGACGCTTCGGCCCTTCTCCCCCCCCAGGGAAGCTTTGGCTGCACCTCCGTCGCTGCCGAGGGGTCGTTTTTGACGGCGAAAAAGGAGTTCGACGGTTTTGGGTGTGGGTAGGGGTGGGGCCGAGCAGTGCGCAAACCTCTATCGCGACCAACATCGAGGGTATCATCGATTTTCAGACGACGCTGACGTTTGACATCTTCGCGCCGGAGCGGGATGGGGTGGGGTTGTGGGTGATGGAGGAGGTCGGCGTGGAGGATCGTGAGGTTCGACGAGTGGAGTTCGGCCTCGCCGGGCTGCCACGGGGGGTGGCGACGCGGCGGTCGCTGCCTCTCATCGCCCACGCCGGGAGCGGCGCCGCGCGGATCGCCGGGGAGCTCGAGCTGGAGCTCCTCGCCCAGGATTTCGGCGTTAACGTCGCTGAGGGGGCGGCGGGAAATTTAGACGAGACGGCGGCTTTTCGGGATCGATTCACGGCGGCGGTGCAACGCGGGGCCCCGGAGGAGCTCCATCGGGTGCCTTTTCTCGTGGATACGACCCCGGTCGGGGTGCGTGCGCGGCTGCTCGCTCGGATGCTTGCCCGCACGGGGTTGCAGATCACCACGGCCCCTTTGACACTTCGCGTGGTGGGAATGAGGGGTTATCAGCCCCTTCACGATTGCTA